GACAAGGTCAACATGTTTTTTTACCCCCCCTTCATTCCCCCCCGTGAACCTGTCTTCCAGTTGTTGTACATCACACAACTACAGTAGCATACAGAAAGAAGAGAAGTCAACTCAAAAGTTTGCTCTACTGATGATGTTGAATGCGGACCTGGTTTCACTGCTGGCAATTTTGTGAGCAGAATTTCTTGAGTTGCTGGGTTTTGGGTGAACTGAAGGCTCAGCATTTGCACATGGACAAGGACATGTATCAGGGCTAAGACGGATTTGGAAAAACCCAATTAAACACGCCAACACACCCTTTGCTGTTCCTTTTCCATCCCTGTGTCCCTATGTAAGTTGGAAGCCACATGTAGTTCAAAGCTGGGCATGTGTGTGTGTGTGTGTGTGTGTGTGTGTGTGTGTTTGTCAGGATGGATGCAGGGGCTTGAGACAACCAGCTGTTGTGACCAGATTGGGGAGGGATTATTCCTCAAATCTCCCCCATTTACCTTGGCTGCCTAACAAGCTCCTACATAACCATGTTAATTCACTGATATTGCGACATTGATTCCGCTGTTACTAACAAACACACACTGTGGGCCAATCAAATGAATTATCTTGTTGATAAGGTTTTAAACAGATATTTGTCTAGGCGAGGCCTGTTAGATCAAATCTTCACCACATAAATAAGCATCATCAGATTTCTGACTAATGGCTTTTTGATGCTAATACAACTGTACTAACATATAGATAAAAATGAATATCACTGAGTTGTTACTAGGAAAAGCAGTCTAAAGAGTAGCACCACACTTCTTTGGGAAACTCTCTCACAGATTCCCGTGTGAAGTCATGAGGTCAGAGGCTGAACAGGATCACTGAAACAATATTATTAGTTCACTGAGGGAAGCGCACCGGGGTCACATAATAAGACTCAATCTGGCTGAGTGAAACTGCATGGGAGGTAAAGTGCTGACGCCTCCCTCCCTCTCGCTCATCCAATTCCCAGCGCTTCACTGTGTGCCACTGATATTCATGCCGAGCTGTCCGTCCACGGCCCACAAACTTTAAGGTTTCGCGGTCTCCCCAATCCATCGGCCCGCTCTAGTGATGGACGAAGGTAGCGAGGGAGAGGAGAACGCGGCGCTGGGTGGAGAGAGAGGGCGCAACTGACATAAGGGGAGAATATTGAAATTTGAGGTCACAGAAGACAATTGTGATATCCACTCTTCCACGTCCAATTCATTCAGTCATTCATTCAGTCACCTCATCCATGTACAATAAATACGCACAAACATATGTGCATGGGCTGGCACACACACACACACAGGCCTCCTGACAGAAGCAATGCAATATAAAGATACACAGAGCTCAAGCAATAACCTGATCCTGGTGAAAGATATTTCGGGCTTTGACGGGGGGGCAGAGCCGCAGAGGCCAGGCTGTTTTCCCACTGTCATTAACAAAACAGAAGGATTAGCGGATGAAACTGAGCTAAATCTGGCCGTGCTAAAAACATGGAGGGGGGGTGGGGGGGGGGGGGGGGGACCAGGCATGGGAAGAAACAACATTGAATGTATCCCAAGCGAGCGTTTAACAAATGCTGGTAAGCAACAAAAGGGCACCTTTATAACAAAACTATTGTATTCTATTATCTTATGTTCCGCTGTTCACAAGTACACCCACACAAGCTGCACACCCGTATCAGAAAAGAATTTGTATGACCCCAACAAACAACTGCACTTTTATGAAGACCGGATTCCTTTTCTCTCAAACACCACAATAACTCTCCCCACTACAGCTTAATCTTCAGGGAACAAGGGCCAGCAGTAACGTCCACCTCCCCCTTACAGTATTAGAGACGTGAAGATTTAATCCTTTCTTTTTACAGGAGAAAGAATCTTTGATTATTATGGGATTATTTTATATTTCTGAAAGACAGCATGCAGTGCCATGTTCAAAAGAAGTGATTCAACAATACAGATTCCATATTTCCATTATCGAGCAAGGATTCCTGCTGGAGGAGTTTTGTCACCTCAACCTGGCCGCCAAGGCAAAGCTAATATGAGGACAAGTTCTCAATTTAGTTTACATTATGTATTGAATTGACAATATGTCTTGAATTGAAAGCACAAATTACACCTTGGAGCTGTGCACTACAGTATATTCTACAAAATGCAGTGCTGGGGTTGTTGAGGTGTAATCATGTTTGTTGTTTTTCTGTCTACCCGTTGCAGGGTCTGGGTCTCCGATTTTGTTACAAAACCGGTAGAGAATCGAGCCAGAACCAACTTCCAACAGGAACATTGTGTATCCATCACAATTAAATTAGCGCTGTCAATAGATTTAAAAAAAATTATGAATTAATCGCACATTTTGAAATTCATCAATGGCGATTACTGAATGTTGTGGTTGTCACAATGTTGTTTTAAACTAAATCTTAAAAAGAATGAGTAATCAATTTAGAAAGCATGTATTTTAGACACTGCGGTTTAATTGTTAATGTCATTTTAAACTTTAAATGTTGACCTATCAACTCTTCCTGCTGTCCTCGTGCACTCAACTTAACAACTGTGTTTGAAGTGCCAACCATCTCCACACATTTAGCCGGGACGTTTTCAAACTACGGTCTTTTAGGGACACAGTGGTGGTCCTCTGCAGACTGTGTGCCGCGCAGGGTAAATTAGATGTTGAGATGGAAGTAGACTACCGGCTAGTTTAGCCTAGCAGCTAGCTTAGCGTGGCAGTGGTTTAAGTGGTCCGTTTTCCATTCACCTCATTCTGTTTGACACGTGGAGTAATTCCTTTGTACTATTCTGCGCTGTATGTTGCTCCTCTGTTTGTTTTACTTCAAATGCAAAAAGCTCTCTCCACCTTGGCGTAAGTTAACTGACTGCAGCAAAGAGGCCGTTTCGTTTCCGCGGTCAACTTCCGGTTTACTTCCGGTCCCGGACTTTGTTATGTGTAAAACTGAGAGAAAGACATAAATAAAATAGTGGGGAATCCGCTGAATCCAGTGATATCTGTAACATTTTCCCAGACGTACCTCGCTGAAATTAGAGTAAAAATACCACCAAGCACTCGAATGAAATTTTTTTTAAAGCTTCCAACTTTTGTCGTTTTAATAAAACGTTTTTTTGTGTGCCTGCAGTTATTTTTTGATATTAAAACATTTTTACATATCAGAATACTCACATGGTTTGAAGAAAAAAAAATGTCCGCATAGACAAACAAGTCCTAGAGTAATTAAACTTTTTATCGCTGGTACTCCATTTTCAGAGCAGCCAAAAAACAGCTCAGGCCCCGACCTCTGTGTCTTTGTGCAATAGAAACATTGGGTAGTGGATGGTACCAAAAGCAAGCATGTTAAACAAATTAACATGATTTATTACCGGTTTGGATAAATGCACCAAAACAAGTTATA